ACATAACCCCGGCAGCCCCCAGGGAGGAGGAGGCGGGGGGGGACAAATCCCAATTTCTATTACAATTCACCACCTCGGGAGGTTGGCTGGGGGCAGGCGAGATCTCCATCTACAAATTTATAAGTAATATCGGTGAATTGGAAGGATTTCTCCGCCTTTGAAGCTTCGGGGGGAAGGAGATAGAGTAATCGTGATTATAGGAAAGCTCATTTAGATTCCTATGTCCTGGAGAAGATTTAATTGTCTGCGGGAGAAAGGATTTTGGGGGGCGCGGGGGCTTTCTTCTGAGCTTCGATGGGGAAGGCTGGGGCCGGGTCCCTTTCCGTGTGTGGGGGAAGGTTCCCCCCTTTTTTGCCCCCCTTTTTCCTCTTTTTTTTTCCTTCCTCCCCCGACACCCCTAACGCCTTTGTCAATGCCATTTTTCCAGCCGTGAAAAGAAACGGGAATTCCACCCGGCAGAAACTCCGAGCCCCGCACGTTACCATTAAGTTCCTGAAAGCGGCGGAGGATGCAGAGGGCTCTGGTTTCCCCTCCATTTCAGGAAATAGGGATTTTTGCCCCTCCCAGTCCGGGCCGCCGCTGTACCAGGTACAAGGGAACGCGGAGCCGCGGGCTCGTGGTGTCCCATCCCTTTCCCACGGCCTGGCGCGGCCGCGGCCCCGCCGAACCGGCAGCATCGCTGCGGCTTCAGCGACGGAAAATGCCGTTTAAATCCCCCCCCCCCCCCCCCCCCCCCCCCCCCGGAGGATACGTGCAGAAACGATCGTTTTATGTTTTATTTTTCCTCTTTTTTTTTTTTTTGGTGGTGGTTTTGGGGGCCTTGTGTGGTGCCTTTTTTTTTTTTATTTTTTTTCCTGATTTTTTTTCTTAATTTTCTTGTTGGTTGGTTTTTGCTTTTTGCGGGGTTCCTTTATCACTCACAAAAGACATCTTCTTTAAAGAAGCTGCTCTTCCTCCCCCCCCCCGCCACACTTTAAAACAAAGAGGGTGTCGCTTACAGGGGATGCTCCTGAGCTGAAGGCCCTAATAACAATTATCAGCAGCGACATGGGCTGGCTTCTCCTCCTCTATTTCTTTCAAGTAGCCCATTCTAAGAGATAAAATAAACCTGGCCCCTTAACAAAGGCTTCGTGTGGGCTTCGCTAATCCCTCCCGAGCGGCAAGGTGCTGTCCTTGTTTGTTTATTTGGGCCCTGGAGTGAGGGAAAACAATAGCTCGCACCTCGGGTCTAATCAAACAATAAAGTGATCCACCTGAGGGCTGTACCCGCGATGCGGGGCTGGGGTGGGAGTGGGAGAACCGCACAGCGCCAGACACCTTCTCACTCATTTATACATGTATTATATAGTATTATATTTAATGTATGTGGATGATATCGCTCGACAGAGAAGGGAATGGAGTCGGGGCGTCGGTGGCTTAAAACACAGGGAGAAACCGGGAGCTTTGCGGGTAGCGGGAGCCTAAAAGTGGAGGAGGAAGCGACGGCTCCTCGCCGTTTAAGTCCACTACCCCTGGGCTGCCCGTGGCGTGGGGAACCCGGTGGGTCCACTCCCTGCCTCGCCGGTGCGGGTGCGGGGCCACGCGTGCCCAGGGAGCCGCTTGAAAGCGCTCCTTCCCTCTCATCCCGCACCCAGCGCCTCTTCCCCGCTCTTAAATAACCCCCAAAACGACCTTTAACGGCGCTAAATCCAACGCCCGCCGCTCATGGGTTGCGGGACCCGGTCCCCACGCAGGCGGAGGCGAGGGGACGAGCAGAGAGGAGGGAGGAGAAGGGTGTTTGAGCTACCTGTGAGAGCAAACAGGTAAACAGCGACCGCGGGCAGAGGCACAAGTGCAGCCACTCCGCCTGTGTGCACCGCGCCGCCGGCCTCCTGCGGGCCTGTGCAAATAACCCGGGGGAGCGGGACGGGGGGAGCAGCCCCTGCACCCGCCCGGCACCCTCCTGCCCTGCCGCCCCCTTCCCGTCGCGCTGGAGCAGCCCCACAATTCACTTGGCTGGTCCCATCCGTGGGGAGGGCCGGGCAATGCGGCGATGGGCTCCCAGTGCGGCGCTGGGGCAGGGGCACAAGGAGAGGGAAGGCACGGAGGGTGGCAGGGCGCTATCGCGATAGCCGCCGACCTGCCGTCGGATTCCCAGCGCTGCCGTCGGATTCCCTTTCCTGACGTCAAAGGGCCCGACCGGTTCTTACGTCACCACCCCGGCTGTTACGTCACGGCGCCCCTGTGCGGAGTGAGAGCGGCCGCGGGCCTCACCCTTGGCCGCTCCTTGGACACCCCCAAACCCCCATCCCCGTGGCCTCGGAGCTTCGTGCACCCGCAAGAGACCTTTGTGCTGCCGCTCGGTCCTTCCATAGCGGCTGGCACCGGGGCCCGGCTACAGCACCCCCATCCCCGGGGCCGTGTACGCCTTGAATGGGCCGCGCTTCGCTCGTGGGCAGCCCCCCTCCGCCGCTGCCGGGCCCCACGTCGAGTGGGGCTTGCAGGATGCTCTGCCTGTGTGGTGGCATTTGAGGGTCAGTTTGGGTTTGTGTGGGTCCTTATTCTTTTATTCTTTTTATTCCTATAATTCTTATTCTTTTATTATTATCATTATTACTCTTATTCCTATTTGTACTCTTATTCCTACTACTATTCCTGTTATTTCTATTCCTACTATTATTATTCGAAGCCCGGGTCTTCCCCCGGCCCGAGGAGCGGAGCTGCTCCACAAAGCGGCACACGCCAGTGGAGATGCTCATCCTGTCCCTTCCCGGTTGGCTTCCGCCGGGATTCTTTAAATCGAGACGTTATATCGCCGGGCTGCCTCTGTCGCGACTGGCACTGGTCATTACGGCAATTTCTATCCTTTGCTCGCTGCGGTGGGAAGGAATTAAACCTCCTCCCTCCCCCCCCACCCGCTCCGAAGGCTGAATAAATCGATCGATAAGGCCGAGCCTGGCTGGAAATTGGGGCTCTGTGTCTGGTGGGTGCCCCAGACCCCCTTCCCGGGAAGGGGAGCGCCCGCCCAAAGGGGTTCCCTCGATATCGGGGAGGACTCCGGAATGGATGAAGAGATAGCCATTGAGTGCGGTTGAATACCATGACAACTAGGAACAACCTCAGATTTATTCCCAACAGTTAGGACACATTGAAAGAGGGCGTCAATCACGTATTATTTCGCCACTGAAATAAATGCAAAAACTGCGCCGAGACAAAGGGTTCCAACAGAAGCCGGACATTTGTCTACATTGCGGACATTGTTTCCAGCTTAGCCATAGGGTTGTATTTGTGTTTGCGCGGGTCCGACCACCCAGGATGTGCTCAGGGGCTCGCTTTAAAAAAAAAAGGGGGGGAAAAAAAGATCCCTGGGCATTGTCAGCCACAGCACATACTTTATGGGAGGCAGGCTGGGGGCTGGGGGAGGAAGGATGGGGGCAGCGGGCAGGGAGAGGAGGGGAAGGTGCGGACACATTGATCGGCAAGCCGGGGGATGTCTGAGGGACCGTCTTCTTCCTCTTCCCCACCACCAGCAACCGCATTACCGCTCCCTTCTCCTGGAAGAAAAACTCGGGCCACTTTGGTTTCTCAGGAATAAAACCCCCTCCCAAATTGTCTGTGGACCCCCCCCCTCCCCTTCCGGAAACCACCGTTATCCCCGCTCATAACGCCGTCCCGGGCCGGGCTCCAGCTCAGGGATGAGGAAGAGGAAGGAAAAGAAGGTCCGGGCAGGGGTGCTTACAGCCGAGAGTGCGGTTAAGGGGAGGAAGGATGAAAATGAAGATAAAAGTTGGTGTCAGACAGATAGAGAGGGAAGAAGTTGGGGAGTGGGGACCATGGGCGGCCGCGCAGCACCGCGCAGCAGCGCCGGCATCCGCAGCCGGGGATGCTGCGGGGCTCTGCGGCCGTCGGAGTGTGGCTGTGTATGTGACACCTGAAAGTCCGGCCTCCCACAACGCCGTTTTGGAAAGAAGCCCCTTCACCCGCTCCTTTCCCAGGCCCCGAAAGAGAAAAACCAAAACCCCAATAAATGAGGAAAACCTCAGCTCTATTTGAAGCTCCGTTGGGCTCCAGCCCGTTAAATCAACCAAACTGGCCGGGTTTTATTCCCTTGGAAGAAGGAGGCAAAATCAATGAGACCTCTTCAAATAAAGCCCCCCTCCCTCAAGTAATCACCTCCCGCATCTCCCCGGGTCGCGACTGACGATCGCATTTTGCCAGTTCGGTTAATTTCGGAGCAAACTAGAATCAATTACTCGCTGTTTAATTTCCAGCGTTCATCCCTAAGCCTCAACCAAAATATTGACCTAGGCGGTTTAGATAAGTTGGTCTCCTGCCATCTGAGCCGCCTCCCCCCTTCGGTCCATGCGCTGAGCGCTGCCCCCGGGGCTGCGCGGGAGCGCAGGCTGCGCGGGGAGAGGGGGAGGGCACCTATCCCATAGTTATCTATATTTTATTTCCCCGCTGCCTCGCAAGGCAATGGGTGGAAAACGCACTTCGGAGTGCGGGGAATATCGGTGCGAGGCTCTTTGTATGTAAATACAGGGCGTAAAAACAAGGGAAAAGAGAAAATCACCCCCTCCCTTCTCCCGGCGAGCCACACACCACCCCCCCCCCCCCCGCACCCGCGGAAGGGCCCTCCCCACGCCGGTAATTAACTGACACGTTATACCACTCATCACCAATGGTGGAAGCTCGGAGCTCGCCCAAAACCCGCAATTTCACATCTGCAAACACTGTCTTCATCCACTTGACTCCCAGGACCCGCCCACACGTGGCCAACCTTGCCCGGGTTTAATGTAGGTTTTTTTTCTCCCTCCTCTCGGCAGGTTCATGTGTGGGGACCAGCCTTACACGGACTGCTCGCTCCAGCAATGGCTCGGCTTCTCCAAGCGGCAGGCGCGGGCTCGGGGTGTTTGAGCAACAGCCAGAAGTGATTTATTTTTTCCTTCCATTTTTTCCTTGTTTTTTTTTTTTTTAATTTTTTATTTTCCTTTTTTTTTTTTTGGTATTTTTTTTCGCTCCCTCTTTTTTTTTTATATTTTTAATTTTTGGCTGTCTCTCCCCTTTTCCCCCTGGAGTTACAAACTGTTTCCGAAGCTGCTCCCGCTCTCTGAATTCCCCCCGTGGCACAACAAGCCCGTCCGTGGAAACCACCACCGCAGAGATCCACCGCGGCGGCTCCGCGGCTCCTTTTGCACCAACCGCTTCGGTTATCTCCCTATAAACCTGTGTTCCCGTTATATTTACCCCCCCTTCCACGCGTGCCTCCCCCCCCACCCCGCCCCGCTCCCCGCGGCCGTGCGCGGCGGGGCTGTCCCCGCTCCGCGTGTGCGTGGCCCCCGTGACACGGCGGGTCGGCGGAGCCGCTCCTCCAACTTTCCCTGCCTAAATTTGGCCGGAACATGTCTCTGACCAACACAAAGACGGGGTTCTCGGTGAAGGACATTTTGGACCTCCCCGACACCAACGATGAGGACGGCTCCGCTGCGGAGGGGGGTGAGGAGGAGAGCGAAGCGCCGGAGCCCCCCAGGAAAGCGGGGGTGCTGGGGCAGACCCCCTTGGACGCTGTGCAGACGCTGCCTTTGAAGAACCCCTTCTACGATAGCAGCGATAATCCCTACACGCGATGGCTGGCGAGCGCCGAGGGCATCCAATACTCCCGTGAGTACCGGCGGAGACGGGGCCGCGCAGCCCCACGCTCCCGGCGGTGGGGCAGGAGGGGTCGGGGAGGTGTCTATGGGGTGTTGGGGGGTGTTCGCCGCTCGCCATTGCTGGCTGAGCCCCGGCCGGTGCCTCCGTCCGCCCCATGCCGCGGCGGGGAGAGCCGAGCTGCCCGGCGCCGGCGGGATGCGGGGAGGGATGCGGGGTGCGGAGGGTGCGCAGCGCCGAGCTCCCCCCTGACGGGCCGCTCCCGGTTGCAGTGCACGGGCTGGCGGCGGGAGGCGGCGGCCAGGACCCATCGGCCAAGTCACCGGAGCCGTCGGCAGACGAGTCACCCGACAACGAGAAGGAAGCAGCGGGCGGCGGGGACGCGGGGAAGAAGAGGAAGAGGAGGGTGCTCTTCTCCAAGGCGCAGACCTACGAGCTGGAGCGGCGGTTCCGGCAGCAGCGGTACCTGTCGGCGCCGGAGCGGGAGCACTTGGCCAGCCTGATCCGCCTCACCCCGACCCAGGTGAAGATCTGGTTCCAGAACCACCGCTACAAGATGAAGCGGGCCCGGGCCGAGAAAGGTATGGAAGTGACTCCTCTGCCCTCCCCGCGGCGGGTGGCCGTGCCGGTCTTAGTCAGGGACGGCAAACCCTGCCACACGCTCAAAGCTCAGGACTTGGCAGCCGCGACCTTCCAGACGGGAATCCCTTTCTCCGCCTATAGCGCCCAGTCCCTACAGCATATGCAATACAACGCCCAGTACAGCGCGGCCAGCAACCCCCAGTACCCCACAGCACACCACTTGGTACAAGCGCAGCAGTGGACTTGGTGAAGGCTGGAGGGGAGCGCGCATCCCCCCCGCACCCGCGTACCCCCCATACGCGAAAAGAGGAGGAAAACCCCGAAATAATAAAGCGAGACAGAGAGGGAGACAGACTGATGCTCCAAAAATGAAACTCAGAACTGCGGGGGAAGGGATGGAGAGGGAAACGCTATTATTATTATTATTATTATTGCTATTATTATTATTATGTTGTTTGGATTTGGTTTTTTGGGGTTTGGTTTGGTTCTTTTTTCCCTTTCCCGTTTCTTTTCCCCTCTATTTTTTGGGGGGCGGCTCGGTTTCATTTCGGGGGGAGGCAGGGAGGGGGGGAAGGGAGGGGAGGTGTTTTTTGTGCGTCATTGTTTACAGAAATTTTTGCGCCATTCAGTGGTCCTGTCTACCTACAGCTCAAATAAAGGGGGGGGGGGGAATCGTCAGAATTAAACAAAAAATAAAGGAAGAATAAACCCCGCTCCCCGCTGCTCCTGTGGTTTTGTGAGGACCGGGCGGGCACCCGGACACGGGGGGCTCGATTCCCCCTTCCATGGGGATGCTCGGCCCCGTGGAGCCCCCGGTAGCTCGGAGCGGGTGTGTTTTGTGCCGTGGGGAGCGGCCGGGATGTTGGTTTCGGACGAGCTCGCTTAGGGGTTGCGCACAACTAGTCCCGAGTAACCGGGAGCAGAGGGAAAAGAAACGCGGGTTAAACCCTCGCCGTTCACCCCCGCGGGGAAGCGGCTCCTTCTGCGCGATATTTTAATACGAATTTTAATTTTATTTAAGGAAATTTAATGTCAACTTTTAAGGAAAACAATTCACGGCATCGATAACAACGGCCAGCCGGGTTTGTTCGCTTCCTCGGCAGCCTCACAGCCACGTTACGGCGTGGGGCCGGAGGGGAGACCGGGCTAAGCAGGGCCCCCTGGCAACTTCTTCCTTGGAGGGGCAAAACGGCTTTTTTTCGGGGCGTTCGGCTTCATCCCGCTGGCGAAAATCGGGGAGAGAGGTTTAGGGATTATTTGGTATCTGTGGCTTTGGTTTTCCACCCCCCCTGTGCCCCGTGGTGCGGGGTTCCCCTGACTGTAGTTTGGGTACCATCATCACCCTCCGACCCGCGTCCCCCCGCGTCCGTTTTGCGCAGAAGGGAGCTCGGAAACTTCGCGTTCAGCCCTCGGGGATGCGCCGGCGGCTGGGGCAGGTCGGGGAGAGGGGAACACTTGGGGTACCCCCCAAAAAAGGGGGAGAAGCAGCAGATTTGGGCTGGGTGCGGGTGTTGGCGGCCTGGCCGCCGTGGAAGGAGGACTGGGCCCGGCCCTTGGGAAGCGGCGGCCGGTTTCGGGCGGTCGCAGCTCCGGCTCGGAGCGGGTTTGTGCAGCGCCGGGGCGGCTGCGAGCCCTTCGCCCTCCGCTGCGGGTTTTAGGCTGCTAAAGATGCTCAAACACCAAACAAATGCATCAACAAACGGCGGTTGTGCGGTGCGGGGACCGCGGCAGCGCCCGCCCCGTCCCGCCGCTATCAGGCCGAGCCGAGCGGAGCCGGTTCAGTTCAACACCCAAAGCAAAGAAACGATCGGAACCGGCCCCGCCGTGCCCCTCCGCGCCAGTCCGCCCCGGCACAACCTCCTCCGGCCGCCAGAGCCGGCAGCGCCCCTCGCTGCGGCTGGGTTGGTTTTGCCCTTTTCCTGGGTTTCTCTGTATTTTTATCCCCCTTTTCCCGTTCCCCCTTTCCCCGCCGCGTGAGCCCGTCCCCAAACCACCGAGGCCCGGCAGCCGCTCTGTGGACGCCACCGGTGACTTGCCCGTGCCCCTGCGGGGATCCTCCGAGGCAGAGCCAGCCCGACAAGCGGGGAACCGGCCTCCAGCCCCGGGGAAGCTCCGCCGGGTCCCGGAGCAACGGCGGAACACGAATACGTGCGGGTTTTTCCCTTTGCAGCCCCAACGTGCGAGGCAGGAGCGGAGAGAAGGAAAACTGCCCCTTCTTGATTATTTTTCCCCCTGTTTTTTCCCTCTTTTTCTTCCCCCCCAGGCTCTGCTAAGTCTATAAAACCAGTTGTGTGGCCCTAACCTCCGTGGCCTTATATCTCCCATGCTGCCGGGCCAGCTCCGGGCAGTCTATCTTTGCACAATATACAGTAGACTTCACAAAACAGCACAATGGGGGAGGCAGGGAGGTGAGCATGTTAGAGGCGTGCATATTAAAGAGATGGAGGCCAAGGCAGTCAGGGCCGGGCCGGGAGTGGGGAGAGAAAGAGGAAAGACAGCCTAAGGGGGGTGGCGGGGTGGGCCCCCTCCCTGTGCCTTCCCTCCCTTCTTCTCCCCCCTTCTCCCTTCTTTTTGGGGCCATTCCATTCATTTCGGGGAGGCAGTCCATCCCGGAGTCAGGGAGCAGTGTCCTTTGCGTTTTGTTAGGGCTGTCACTCGTGCTCATTGTTAGGCGTGTTCTACATGTTGTATCCCATATGGCCAGCTGGGCCGGGGGACCCCTCACAAAACCCAAATTGTGCCCAGCTTTCAAACCCAGCATTGTTGTCTGTGAAAGGAAGACGAATTAAAAATTCGTGCTATATCTATTCTGGAAGGCAAAAAAAAACGGGGGGTGGGGGGGGACACAAGGAAAAAGAATCCCTCTCTCTTTCTCTCCCTCTCTCCCGCTCTCTTTGAAGACTAACAGAGGCCTCCTCTTCTCCCGGTCCCCGCTGACAAGTTTCTCTCTCATTTCACAGGAAATTAGACTCTCCCCCCCGCAACGAGTCCCAAGCGCATCTCCCCCGTAAAACCCACGTCGGGGCCCGCTCCTGCGCCTCCGGCCGGGCAGCGGAGCTCGGCTGCGCGGGGGCTGCGCGGGGGCTGCGCGGAGGCTGCGGCGGGCAGCAGAACAAGGCTGCATTGAGGGCCCGGTAATGTTATGCAGGCGGCCTCCCTCCGCGGCCCGGCCGTACCGCGCGGCGGGCTGGCACGTCCCGCTTCTGCCCCGGAGAAACGGCTCTTTCTTGTCGTAGCTCCTGGTTGTGCAAGGCAGGCCGCTGGCCGGGGGGGGGACGGGGACGGGAGGGAGAGAGGGGAAGGGAGGGCAATGGAAAAGGAAAATAAGGGGAAAAAAAAAAAAGAAAAAGAAATATGGGGGAAAAAAAAGAGGATTTAAAAAGCGGGGAGAGGGGGGTGAGGAAAAGGGAAAAAAAAAGAAGAAATTAAAAAAAAATCCTGAAAAAAAATATAGAAACGGAAAACGAAAAAGAAAGGACAAAAATATAAAGGAGAAAAAGAAAAAGGGATAAAAGAAAAGGAACCAAGAAAATGAGAAAAAGAGCAAAAAATGAGGAAAAGAGCAAAAAGCAGGAAAATAAAAGAAAAAAAGAAAAAAGAAAAAGAAAAAACATAAAAGAAAAAAGGGAGAAAAGAAAATAGAGACAAGAAGAAAGACCATAAAAAGAAAAAAAGAAAAAGAAACAACGAACAAGAAAAAAAGAAAAACCAAGAAAACAAAAAGGGGAAAGACAAGAAAATGGAGACAAGACAAAAGGACAAAAAAATAAAAGGAGTAAAAGATGAAGAGGGGGACACCGCTTTCTCAACCCAACTGTCCTTGGCACTTCCCGTCCCAGGCAGAGGGGTTGCGCAGCGCTGCTCGGGCGCGCTGGTGACACCGGCCGCCCCGCTCACTGCCGTCGCTGTTGGCATCAGCCTCCCCTCTTTGCCCCGCTACCCCCCTCACCCCCCCGCTGCCCCCCTGTCCACCACCGGGAGCCGCGGGGGGAGCCGCACCTCGGCAGAGCCGCCCGTCGGGTCCGGATCGCGCCACGCTCCGCGGATGATGGCGACTCGGTGCAGGAAGCTGTTTGCTGGGGGGTGAGGAGCTCTGGGTCCCGCTCCTGGGGCTCCTTTCCCTTTCCCCCCTCCATCTTTCCCCCATCTTCTCCTTCCGCCGCCCTCTCGCAGGGAGGGAGCTGCTCAGGCGGGCGGATCACCTGCTAATGAGCTGGAAGCCCCTTAAGCCCTGGAAATAACTTACTTCGTCACCTATTGACTGTTTGGCTTAGTTTGGAACCGGTGTGGATTTTTCGGGTCTTTTCAAGAGCGCCGGTCAATGAAAAGCTAAGCCAATATTTACCGAGTAGAAGGGCAACTCTCGGCGGTGTTTATTAAGGGGCTGGTGGGGAAGGGCTGCGGGGGGGGTTAAGGGTGCAGGGGGACCTGCCCGGGGCAGCTGGAGCGGCGAGATACGGCCCGGGCGGTGATGCGGCGAGAGGGCACTTGTGGCTCCAGGAGGGCGATGCTCTCCCCTCATCCCCTCCCATTGTTATCCCGCATCACCTCCAGTCACCCCCGCACTCACTCCCGTTGTCCCCACGTTGCCTCCTGTTGTTATCCCACATCCCATCCCGTTATCATCCCTGCAGCCCTACATGTTACCCGCACATCCTCTCCCTTATCATCCCCGCATCACCTACTGTCACCACCACACTCTCTTCGTTGTCCCCCATCCCACCTCGTTACCATCTCTCATCCTCTCGTTATCCCGCATCATCTCCCGTTACCATTCCCGCATCGCTGTACGTTAGCCCTCCATCCCTCCCTGCTATCCCCGCACCTGCAATCTCCACTCCCAGCCCCGGTCCGCGCTGGCTCCCCACACAGAAAGAGCCGGGGGGGGTTATTGCTCCCCGCAGCTGGAAGGGTTTATGTTAGATGCATTTTAGATGTATTTTAAATGTATTTGATGGAACTCCACACCCCCCCTCGGCGAGCAGCGGCCGCAGGGAGGCAGCAGAGCCCCGCGCAGCACCGGACGCAGCACCGCTACCTCTCCGCGCTCCCCCGGGGCCGAGGCAGAGGGGAACCGGCGGGATCCGAGGCGGTGGCACCGGCCCCCGACCCCCCGTCTCCACTCCCCGCCGGGCTGGGCCCCGGGCGGCCGCAGGGCGGCGCTGCCGGATAAGGGACGCGCCGTCGGGGCCGCCCCTCCGCCCCAGGACTCCTCTCCCGGCGACGCGGCTGGTGCCGATCGCGGCCTGGAGCCTGCACAGCGTCACACCGGGGAAAGGGGCCCTTGGACCAGCTCGGAGACACGGCAACGGCTCGGACAGAAGAGGAAGAGGGATGGAGGATGGAGCCAGGAGGGGCTGGGCTCTGCTCCCAAGGAACAAGGGATGGGACAAGAGGAAACGGCCTCAAGCTGCACCAGGGCAGGTTTAGATGGAGCTGAGGAGCAATTCCTGCCCCAGAGGGT